ATAAGATTATAGAGGTTCTACTGTATAAGGAAGAGTAGAATCATGGTTGGTTACTCTCATATTAAGAGTTTATGTTTTCATCCTCGAGTGAACTTCTCTCTAAACCCTAGTGTTATATCATCCATATCGATTGATATACCCGTGCAATTTCACATTCACTCTAATACAAAATAAATATAATCATTATCTAATCTCTCAAAAAAAGAGTCACAAAAGGTATAGTTAATTGTATCACAGCTCTATAGTAGTCTTCTCCATAATACTCATAAGAAAATCTCTCCACAATATCTTTTGTCGGTATGTTGTTCTAATCTCTACATAAATGTTGATCAAACCGGGACGGGTGATTTGGGATTCAAATCCATGAAACATTCAACATAAATGTATATGGTACAATCCCAAATCTCTCCATAAGTAACTATTGGAAGAATTAGTGAAACTCTCGACTTCATCACTCTAGTCATAAAATTTGCATCCCAACAAGGCACAAGGTACATCCAAAAATGATGTTTCTTCATGTAACAAATGTGAATATTGAATAGATTAGAAATTGGCGAGTGCGGTACTGGATTCTTGTCATGCCCGTCCATATCTGCAAAACCACAATTTTCTCCTTTCCATCTCTCTCTACATGCAGATCAATTACCTCTACCAGCCTCTATACATTCTCAAAATGTACTCCATCATCACTCACTTGCTATTCCATGAGGGTAATCCACACTCACTTGCTATTCCATGAGGGTAATACACACTCTCTTGCTATTCCATGAAGGTAATTCATATTCAAGGAAAGAGCAAGGTTGCTCTGATACCATTGTAACATTAGAGTTTAGAGATAAGTTTACTTAAAGATAGAAACATAAACTTTGAAGATGAGAAATACCAACAATGGTTCTACTCTTCCTTATATAGCTCTCAACAACAAGAAGATAAGATGTTATCTCCACCATCCATGCCACTCCTAGTGGATTGATGACATGGCAGATAACCCTAACAAGCACACCAAATATTGATGTGGCGTTCTCAACTAACACATTCAATCCTTACCTAACAAGCACACGGATTGCTGACGTGGCATTGTTAACTAACAAACTTCCTCTCTATCTACCAAGCGCGCGGATCGTTGACATGGCAGCTATGACTAGTGCACGCTAAAGTATCTATATCAATATTTAGAGTAATTTCTACTTTATTTCTAACTTACTTAAGACGGTTATAGAGTCAAAACAAATTTTGGATATACGACTGCATGAAGCAGCGGTTGAGATATAATCAAAGTTTCGTCAAATGTTGCATACTTTGAGCTTTGTCCATCATTCACTCGGTCAATCCTCAAAAATATAGTCTCGACTGCAGTAGCAGTTGCTACTCTCTATGAATGCCGCTGTTGCTGTTGTTGTGATTGTTGCTCCTCATGTTATCGATGTCATGTGCTTCTGCTCACAACTCTATGTACAGTCACTGATTCAGCGGATTGGATGCAACATAGTCCAAAGTTTGAATGTTTTGAATTGAATTCGAATGAGTCAAAACGAATTGAGTTGAGCTGGATGACCCTCTTAGAGTTTACCACCACGGTAAAATCACAAGCATCTTTAGTCAGAGACAAGAGAGTCTATCTGACGATCTTTGAATGTCATCGCCACTTTTGACCCTACATCACGCACTCTGTCGCTAACTTCTAAATTGTCGAAATGAACGAGCTTCAATGAACATCACGAATCTGTACTCTTGCTTCGCGTGCACATGCTTCTTTGAAGACAAAGCTTCTTTGAAGACAAAGCTTCCTCTTCTTGTTTTGCTCTTGCTCTGTCTGCCTTGTCCTTTCGATGGAAAGTACTTTTTCATTAGCGACTGCGAGCACTATCACTAGTTTTTAAGCATCGAATGTCTTTCTGAAAGGAGGAGGAATCAGGCAGCCAAATGCTTTTGTTTACTAGCACCTAGAAAAACTACTTCCTCTAGTCATGTACAATCTGTCAATGATGTTGACCTTTTGTCACAACCAAATTAGGTTAGCCAATTCTCAAAACACAAAAAACCGCAAAAAACCTCAAAACTTGTCGACTCTACCTTCCATCTCAAATTGTCACTTGAAGAAATTTTTGAGTGTCAAACTTCTCAAAGTCAGAACTGTGCAACTCTTTTTTCTTGTCATTGTTCAATCTTTGAAAACCGTCAGCAAACTTCAATAATTTCAGTAAAAACACAAATTGAAAGACAATGTGATAAATGATTAGTGCTATGTAACAAAATTTGAATTGAAACCTACTCTGATACCAATTATAATTATAAAACTTGAGATCACACTGAATAAGTCAACAACACGAGATACACACGTATTCATAGTAATGCAATTGAGAGAATTTACTACTTCAAGTGAAATCATAACAATACGCGCAAAAGCATCAGGATATATATACCCAACATAGACGACCAATCTCAGGTATAAATAGTTAGACATGAGGTTATTCCTTAACCGGAATTAAACTCAAAAATCTACTCCTTAACTTGCATTAAAGAGTCTCAGTAACCTCTCTAACCTAATTAACTTATGTTTTAGGCATAAACCTAACACAAAGTAACTCTTTAAACGAGAATTAACTAGAACTAAGTCGTAGCCATAATAAAATAGAGTAATAATGTAGAGAGATAACTCATCAATGTTCCGTTAACTTGTGTTAGGGAATCTCAATAATATCTCTTACCTATATTATTACTCTGATAACATAATAGAGTAAAAATATACAAAGTTGACACAACATGATGGTTAAAAATCTTTTGAATTTTTTTTTGTATTTTAAATCTAGATTGATGATATTTCATGTTTTAATGAAAAGTTAAATTTTTATTAATTTTTCATTTTCTGATGTAAGTATAAATAAACATGACACTTTTCATTATATATTGAGTAATATATAATACATAAATGATAAATGAAAATAAAATCAACAAAATAATTTAAGCATAATTATCTTCATTATGCTTAGTGGTGTATAATTAAAATTAGCTTAATGGCGTAATTTTTTAATTTTTTCCTGATTTACTATTCCAAATTGAATAGTAAATCAGGATCTAAAATTAAATTTGGAATATTTTACAAATAATTGAAAAATAAGATTTTATTTATTGAATGATTAACATTTTAATCTTGTTAGAATGATATGTTGCTTTAGTTGAAATAAAAAAAATGCGTAATACAAGTTAGACAGTGATAGTATACAAGATTGCTCCAATCATTAAAAATTGTTTATGGCAATAATCACAATTTTTTTAAAGAAGATTTGAAGTGAATTTCAAATTTCAAATAATTAATATAATAATCAAAATTTTAGGATATATATATTTCATTGCAAAAAATTAATTTCATTGCAATCATAAATTGTTTGGTTGAAAACAAAAAAAAGTAATTAATGATAAGATATCTAAGTTTTAAACCTCATAAACTTTTATATTGAATTTTAGTATGAAAAAAAAATCTAACCGTATTAAATTTTATATTTACATCTCATATTATTATCCAATAAAATATTTAAAAAACTAAATATATTGAAAAAATGAATTCAACTATTATATATATCAATTGAATACTATAAAATAGAAAAAATGACTCAATTTAATAGCTGCAAAAAGCAACATATCTAATGGTACGTTCTTGTAGCCCACTATTAGCAACGTTCCAATAAACTCTTAATTTAGGCATAAACTTCATACTTCAAGATGGATTATTCAATGATTTTGATAGGAAGTTTGCAAGGGTGTAGATGATAACTCAAGGAATAGTTCAATCTCATGGTTGTAATATTGAATACACCTTATTTTGAAGTTATGCGTAATCAAAAATCAAACATGTATGGCAAAATCAAACATATATTTTTGCCAGCTCCGTTACGTCTACAATTTTCTTTTGTATAGCGTCACAATTGCAATTGTATTAGATTGATCGTTGAGAAAATTCTTTGTCGTAGATCATAGTATTGTGCTTTTTTCTCCTATCTACTTGTTGTCATGAGCTTTTATTCGTCTCCTCATTTTTATGCTATGAACGTTGGTCCCATCACAACAAAGTAATCTCTACTACCGGATTTTTAAAAAAAATGTGAAATTTGGTGTAAACTGTGAAATGAAATCTATAATTTTGTGAGCATTGTCGCTTTCTCAAACTTGAAAATAAAAGCCTGCCACGTGACTATGATTACTCCGATAATGACAATCCCTCCCAAACCTATAACGCAAATTATCTGATTTAAGAATTTTTATTGTAACTGGCTGAATGTAGACTCCATGGCCGTTGAGAGGGTTACATGAGGTAAAATGAAACTTGTTGGATCTCATAAGTATGCTACTTTTGGCCTCAGTAACATCAAGTATTTTTCTCTATAAAATATGATTATAAGACTGAAATAATTTGCTTCATTTTGTAAAATTCAAACTGAAAAATGATTATCATCAGCAAATGTTTTAGTTGCTAATGCTTGATCTCTTTCGAATGCAAGTAGAGTGTTATCAACTCAAGTTGACGTATAAACATTCTTGAAACATAGATTTTGGTTCCAGCTATATATTGGAGCAATATTGGTTTCAAATGTTTCTCACATACTGTAATATAAGAAACTTTCAATGCTATAGTTGGTGTAGCATAAGGTGAAAGCTGAGATTCAAACAAATTTTAACTCTTCATAAGCATGATCCGTCACTAACTACCTTGTGATCATTCGCTCGTAAAAAGCAACTGAATGAAGCACGACTTGCTCCATTCCCCATTCGTAGCAATAATAACATAATCGAAAAAGTGATACTGTATCGGAAAAGCGAATTTCCACTGAGGATCCGTTCGGCGCATGCCATGTCACAGTGTCCACTATGGGACGCGTCGCACGGAAGCTGACGAAGAAAGAGGCCGCGGGAGGCTTGGGAGCCAAGACGATGATGTGGACTGCGGAATTGTGGCAGGCTTGCGATTCATGCGGAAACTTGCGCCGGGTTTATCCGGAAACTGGAACGCGGCAGGGACCGACGCGAGCGCTTCCGGATGGTTCCTTGCGCCCCACTCGTTCCGGGCACCAGGTGGAGCCTTGCAGGACGAGCTCGAGCGCGAGCCTTGATCCATTGAGGCCTCGAGGCCCATTCGCAATCCATCCATCCTCAAGCGTCGAGACTAATTCCTTTCAATTCTACTCCTCGCGCTCGTGGACGACGTGGTGCCGGAGTTTGCAGTCTCTGCTTGAGCTTGTGCTTAGCCTCCTGCGCTGCCAAATCTGGCAGTCATGACGGGCATCCTGAGTTCTTCCGTTGCAATACCCTGTGGGTGCAGTGGTGCTCTAGTGAGGGAACCGAAGGCCGAGCTGTCATCGAAGAGTGGGGTCTCATTCAGCAAGCATTATGGTTTGAATTTGCGGTTCGGTTTGTCGGTGCCTTCTTATCGAGAAGAAGCCAGATGCTTGGTCCGTTCTAAATTTTCTGAGCTAAGGTCGGACTCTTGCGTGGGAACACTCGGTAGCAATGCCAGAAGTTCTGAATTTTTCTCTAGGCCCAATTGTTCCGGCTTCGAAGGTCGTCGGCGAAACCATAAGCTCCAATTGACAGGTATTTAAAGCTGGTCACTGATCGATCCATCTATGAGTTGGCATTTTTTTTATTGACTAAATTCTGGTCAGAATTTGTCCTGGTTGAGTTGTAGGGTTTGCAGTGAAGATAGCTTTCCCGTTATCCGCACGAAGTGAACTGTTTTTGCAGTCCACTTCTTGCAGGTAACATTGGCTTGTGAAGTCTGGCTTTATTTTGTGTATGTCTGATGTTTTTCTCTACTTTTGAGAGATATATATGAGATTTGACGTTTCCTGATAAATTACAGAGCATTGTACTTTTACATCAGTAACAGGCACTTACGCGAACTAATGCTGTGTGCAAAACTCCTTTGTAAAATCCGAGAAGTAGTACTTCAGATGGTTTGTTCTGGAAAGAGAGTGTACTATGTTGTTCTCTTTCCGTTTCGTGTTTTGAACGAAATTCGAAATGTGTCATGCAGTGTGCGCTGTAGCTGCAAATCCAGTTGAAAAGGAATTGAATTTTGAGCAGATGGTTGTCGGAACCACGCGAAAGTATTATATGCTCGGGGGCAAGGGAGGTGTAGGAAAAACTAGTTTAGCTGCTTCCTTGGCTGTAAAGTTTGCTAACAGCGGTCATCCTACTCTGGTCGTCTCAACGGATCCTGCTCACTCTCTCAGTGACTCATTTGCACAGGTAGAACTGGTTACGTGCTCAGGAAATTGTTCATATTTCTACTAAGTTCGTCATGCAAGTTGGCAGTTGTAACGCATCATTTGCTTGTGATTATTTATTTTCTTTGACACCAGTCGTCAGTCGCTACCTCAGATTATGATCTTTCTCGGACCTATGTTTATCAGGATTTAGGTGGGGGCCTTCTCGTGCCTGTTGAAGGGTCTAATCTACCCCTTTTTGCCATGGAGGTAAAACTTCATTACAGTCACTTGATCAACTGTAACAGCGATTTAAAGCTTAATGGCAAACAAAGATCATGGTTTCTGTTCAATTGCAATTGAATGTTGTCGAGGGAATTTTACCTTGAGGGGCTGTGTCAAACGTTCATGGACTAGGTGATCAGCTAGTTTTGAAGCAAGCACTTTTGCGCGACAGGAACTAACTCACCATGATGATTACACGTTTCTATGAGATTTCAGATCAACCCCGAACAGACAAGGGAAGAGTTTCGTGCATCCACTCAGAAAGATGGAGGAAGTGGAGTGAAAGACTTCATGGATAGCATGGGTCTTGGTGGCTGGGTGGAACAGGTCAGCAACAGTACCCAACGAGGCTCTCAAAGAAGTTAAATTTTTTTTTGTTAAGAGATACTTTGGTTTCACCCACTCTCTTGTAGACCTGCTTCGTGGATTGGAACTCCTTATATGTCTGCATTGCCCCAGCTTTTCTGACACTAGTACTCGTATTCAAGTTAAGTGAGCTCAAGCTTGGAGAACTTTTGGACACTCCACCACCTGGGCTGGATGAGGCTATTGCAATATCGAAGGTACAAATCTGATTAGCTGCAGATTAATATTTGTTGCTTCCAGATTGTGATATCTACTAAAAAATGATTATTTGTCTAAGTATATGAGCTTTTTTTGTACCGTCCGTTGCTTATTTTTTTAAGAAAAGAGGATAGAATAAAAGTTGGAGTTTTGTTGTACAAGCAGAGTTTAATACCAAAATTGTTGAAGCAAAAACGAGTTTTTTTGGAATGTTTTCAGCAGACAACTTGGCCCGACCTTAGAGGAGAATTAGTGTTCTCACTTAAGTTCTATTCCTTTTACAGGTTGTACAGTTTATGCAAGCTCCGGAGTATGATAAATTCACCCGCATTGTGTTTGACACTGCTCCTACTGTAAGTGCAAGTCTTTCGTTTCTGTATCGTTTAGTCTTTTATGAAGCACTGAAGGTTTTTCCAAGTTGGAACTGAAGATTTTTCCAAGTTTAGAGCAACAATTCAATCTTATCATGACAATCCAGGGACATACGCTGCGACTGCTATCACTTCCAGACTTCTTAGAAGCGTCGATTGGGAAAATTCTGAAGGTACGGCTTCCCCCTGACAGAAAGTAACTTGTTGTACCAAAAGGCTTGTAATGGACGCGAGATCAAAAGACAGGCGTGATTCTGAAGAATAGTCTGGAGCTTTGGAACTATTCTCGGCTGTTAAGATCGATGGAGGTTAACCTCAGTGAATATTAGTCTAATAGCTACTCTCTTAGTATGAACATACATGCATGTGATAGCACAGATTTACGTAGGAAAATAATTTTCTTAGATCCAACGCGGTGTGCTGTCTGTGAGAAAGAAACCGATGTGAGAGAAGATGCGCGGAAATTAAGACTGCGGCAAAACATCAAGATGGCTCTAGCTGGGTTATTATCAGTTGGAAGAATTGCCTTCTTTTTCCCTACTTTGGGTAAATATAATCTAACGGTCGTTTCACACAATTATTGGTTTCAGCTTAAGCAGAAAATACAGTCAGCAACATCAGCTGTGAAAAATTTGTTTGGTCAGGGTGATGGAAGAGATACTGCGGTGAGTGCCTAAGAAATCTTACTCGTTGATTGAATTTTGTTGATTCCTGTAGTGAGAGCCTGTTAGTTCAGCTGTAGATGCTTGCATACCAGCTTTTCAATAGACTTGACGAGTGGTTTAGAACATTTAGATTCTTAACGCAGCGTTCCACATATCATGATGTTCTTTATACAGACGGACAAGTTGGAACTTCTCAAGGAGAGAATGATAGCGGTTAGAGAAATCTTCAGAGACAAAGATGCAACCGAATTCATAATTGTCACCATACCAACGGTACAGTTCTTCTTCTGACGTTTAGACAGTGACAATTTCTTTATTCTGCAGTTTTTAGCGCAATTGACGAGCATGCATTGAATGGGGTGAATGGTACAACATCCACCTTACTTATGTATAACAGTTTGTTTGTGCATTGATTTATCCCGTGTCTGTGATAAACGTATGACATGACCCACTATCACTGAAAAGACATCAAATGCAGCGGTAACTAGCTCGACTGTCAACCTGTAATTTGGTATTCCTCATGAAAACAGGAATTTGAAGCTCTTACCTTGTGTTTCATATCCACAGGTGATGGCCGTGAGTGAGAGTTCGAGGCTACGAGAATCTTTGAGGAAAGAGTCCGTGCCTGTCAGAAGATTGGTTGTGAATCAAATTCTTCCACCTTCGTCATCTGACTGCAAGTTTTGTGCGGTTAAGCGCAAGGTGATAATCAGTATATTTTGCTTGTATTCTCGTCTCTGATTGTATTCTCATTTTATGGCATGATTTGAGCTTTGTTTTTACTCAAGATTTGCTAATGCAGGACCAACAACGAGCCATGGATATTGTGAAGGGTGATGCCAACTTGACAGATCTTAAGCTGATCGAGTCTCCCCTGTTCGACCTCGAGATAAGGGGAGTTCCAGCTTTAACCTTTATGGGAAATATAGTGTGGAAGTAGACAATTTCAATTTGGATGAAAATTTCATCCGTGTATCATTGAATTCCAAAAGAAAAACCCCTTTATGCAGGGTGTTAAATTACAAAGGTATTGCGTCTGTGATGACGGTGTCTCCAAAGCTTTTTGTATTTGCAGTAAGAAACAACTAATTACCCACAGGCACTACAGTGTCGCTTAAAAAAAAAAAAAATCTCCTTCGCTCATCTACCACTGAATGAAAGAATACAAAGAGAAAAGAATTAGGTGGTTTTTTCGTATTGCATCGTAGACTATATATCAAGATAGCATCTCAAAGAAACTAGTTTGACCCCTCTGATCTAGAATTGCTTGACTCTCTTGGCAAGGTACAGACTGTCCCTGTGTGTATCAGATTTCCTCATGCCTTTCAGATCTATTTTATAGGATCTGGATTTTTATCTGGTGGACGTTAAGTTGTTGAGAAGAATGATATACAGATTTCACTATGTAAACCGGGATTCGAGAATGAATACGTTGTGGACAGCATAGCGTTTACATTTTAGCTCGGTTCAGCAACCTAAGCTATATCTACAGGCTCCTCCGTTTCAAACAAAAGTTGAAGAAGTGATGCATAACGTGGAGCCGAAGACACATGATGTTTTTCGTATTTTATCATACCTCTGCTGTGGAATGACTTGTCTGCACTTGAGCGACTTCATGGGATGAACATTTGACGTGAATTATCAACAATTTGAATACTCACACCAGACACGATTCGGCACGAAATAAAGAGTCAGCCAAATCTCCTCGAGATGAATGAATATGCTTCAAACAATTATTTTGACTCTCAATGCTCGGTGTCGACAACAAGATCTCATCATTTCAAAAATGCTTACTGGCTTAGTGCCCAAGTGAGGTCCATCCCCTAGGTACAAAAAATGCAGAGCGTGTGTTTTCTAATTGAAGATTGATATCAATTTCTTAAACGTCACTAGGTCATATAGCAGTAAGTATTGGAGATCCCCATCAGATGGTAAAAAGTTGAAACCAAGGGACTAGTTCCCAATAAAGGATTTGGCTTTGAAGCAGCTGTTTTTATCGGCATTTTGTTGATGCTGTATGGGTTTTTTTCTTTTGTATCTATATTATGGTTGGGCCACATCTTCATTGCATTAATATCCCATTTCATTAAAGTAAATAATTCACATAATTCAATTATATCAAAAAATAATCACATAATTTGATTGCTCACATGTGAATTTGAATTCTATATTCTTAATCGATTGAACAATTGTTACGATCTATCAGTCTTGCATGTCAAATGAACAACTTGTTGGTAGTTGTGGTATTTTTTTGTTAACCTCAAGTTTTCCTCTAATGGATAGTTTTCCTCTATATTTATGAAATGTTTGCAATCCAAGAACGAAAACAAAAATCTATTTGATTTTTAAATAAAGAACAAAAGTATTATTGAATTATACTAAAGTGATTAAAATCAAATTAAATCAAAATGAAATTTATTAGTTGCTAAGATTTTCAAATACATATAGACTATTATTATAACAATGAATTTTATTCATATTACTCCTATTCAATGATATTAGTATTCAATTTCAAACAATCTAGAATATGTATAGAGCTCTTAATTCTGCATTTTATTATTTTATATATAAAAAATTATTTTGATAATTTTACATTATTCATCAATACAAAAAATATACAGACGTATTTTTTATTAATATTTAATAAAATTTAAATATTTACATTTTTTGCAATAGATTATAAAAATTAACTTTTTATTAAAAAATTATTCTATTCAGTCTTATTTGCTCAAGCTTGTATATGAAAGAATCTCATGAATTTAATAATATATGATTCTTATTCAGACATCTTACAAATAAAGTTGTTTATATTTATCATAGTGATAAAATTTAGCATCAATTTTTCAATAATTTGAATTGTTTCTTTTGAATCATATATAAAAGAATAAAATTATAATATACATCTTGGAAAGAAAATCAATTTTCTTTGCATGGTTAAAAACTAATATCAAGATTGAAATTGTTTTAAATATTAATGTGCTAAAATATTATATGTATGAAATATATTAAATTTATTCCTGATTATTTGAATGGAAAGTTTTTGACTTTTGACCTTAATGTCTCTTCAATCATGTTAATGTTCTGCATAGGGAAATTATTATTAATAATTGGTGTATATATTATCATATCCAATTAGTGAAATAGTGTGAATGAATTGCATACAAAAGAGTAAGAATTTTATCTTAAATATTTCAGTGATAATTTATTAAAAAATTCTTGCAATTATAACTTACTTTAATTATTTCGATAGTTTTAAACAATCGTCTATTTTTTGGGTCAAATCCATAAAATTCTATTATAATGACCGATAGTTAAATGTGACCATTTACCACGGTAAGTCTGGGCCATGAAAGTAATTTATTTACGAAATTTCTCTTCAAAATTCATAAATTAAAGCTGTGGATCTAAAGTTTTATGAAATTTCCAGTGATTAAGAGAAAATCTCTATTCATACTGACATTATTTAGAAAACCACTGGATCTATTTTTTGAACTTTCTGAAGTGATTTTATTCTACGTAGTAATATATAACTTGAAATCTTACATTTAACAGTTGAACCCCATTTGTTTAAGCAATGGCTCATGTGCATCCAGGCATTTTATTTTCTAAATACATATAGATTTTAGGATAGTTGAATCCTCTCTTGCAATCTGTATATACACCACGTGTAAGCATGAGTACAAGCAATCAATAATATAAAATTTTGACCTGATATTCAATTGATGAATATCTCTTTCCACCCTTTCTTAGTATACAAACTCGAAATAGTGCATCGATTTCAGTGTAAAGGAAACAAAGGACGCTTAGTAGAAGAAAAGTACTGTACAAAGAGTAATATACACTACGTTTGGAACTGTCAGATAGAAACCACAATGACCTATTTGTAGAGTCATGTATCGATTATGAATAGCAAAAAGGATTGCCAGACCAGTCAAGCCTTGTAAATATTCGGGTGTTTGGCCCGCTGCAAATCCTCTGGCCATTGCATGATGACAATAAATTGATGTTTTGCTGCTGCGAGCAGTATGAGGAGCATGTGTGAATTTACAACCTTAACTTTGAGGTAGCCAAGAGTTCCATCACTCCGCTACACTTGGTTACGTTTATTTCACTTTTTTTTTAAAAAAATGCAATTTTATTTAGGACTACTCATGTTTAAACGTTCCTTGATATTTAAGTATTTTTCATTTTTTTCATGGCGAAGAGAGGATTATCATTAGATAATAAAATCTTTAATATCTGAAGATAAAAATTTTACATACTCAGTGGATAAAAATTTCATTATGGCTTAAAATATTTTAATTTATAAAATTGTTTTCTACGATTCTTAACAAGATGGAAAATATTTTTTCAAATAATTATACTCTTGAAATACAACTATCAAAGATATTGTGATTGTAAAAAATGCCTTCGAATAAGAATAAAAATGCCTTATTCTTTTTAATCAAATATGTTCAAAAGAAAATTCAATAAAGTCAATAACATATTTCTAAGTTCGTTAACTACTTAAACTTTCATACATTGAATATGTCTACTTATGTATCAACATATTGACTTTATACTAATTTAGTTTTTCGCCTGAATCTCATTTTGTTTATTATTATAATTTACACTTGAACTCCCTTGCTTTAAACCCAACAATAATAAATCTATCTGTCATACAATTATCGTAAACATGGATATACCTTTTCATTTTTTGTATGAGAATCAAATGTTTCTGCAATACAGTGTTTTTATGAAGCTCGTAGTTCATTTCTCACACTCCATGCTTACTGAAACGACAATTTGGGGTCGCACTGTAAACAAACCGACGGGTCGAAATCCAAACGGGATTTAGTTGATTGAGCTATGGGTGCAACGGAACATCGTTCGATCGTGAGTCCTGAGTAAAATCTGATTTCGTCCCGCGAGCAGACGAATAATAAAGCTGAGCTACTGCCGTAGCAGAGTCAAACGACGCCGTTTAGCTCTGGCTGACGTAAGTCGGTAGCTGAAACGGAGGGATGGGGGACACCGAGCTTGAATGTTCAATCCACGCGCACCACAATCATGAAGAGCTCGCTCGCTTCCTATTCGTTTCCCCAATAATTAGCCTGAACGATTCTCCTCCCTCATCAGTCGGTTGTCGTTCGATGTCAGCGCCAATCCGCCAAATGTTACGGAATCCGATGAGAGCACTTCAAAGTTCCAGAGAATAGAAGAGCAGAGAAGTTAAAGCTCAGCTAAGTAAGTAACTCACGACATGAAGGAAAAATAGACATTGGCGGACTTGATTGGGAGGACGCCATGGAGTCGTACATGAAGGAGATCCGACGAAGAGGATGTTGGCATTGGGATGTTGACTCCGAGACACGGACACGATAGGGGGCAGCAGCAGCAGCAGCAGCATCGAGCTGATTTGTTTGCCTTCCTGTGGGCTCCGATGCGCTGAAGGGTCAGATCAGGTCGGCGAGATTTGCATGATTTGGCTCGTTGAAATCTCCCGAGAAGAAAAGTATAATATTGTATTAACTTCACGAGGAGGTGTTGGATCGATAAAGTCAGCTCGAGGACGACCGAAAAAGGATCCACCAAAGAATTCACGAAAGGTCTGGGACCATTTGGAGGTGATCGCTTTTGGCCTACAGCACGAGTTCATCAGTGCACCTACACTCTAGGGGATGTGTGCAGCTCGTACGCTCGTTTTTATAATTCGCAGAAAGCATATTCTCTCTCCGTTGGTCCAGGCTCGAGAATTGTTGATATGGCTCGCTAAGACTTGATCGGTGTCACAGTCGGTTCACTGTAACTTTCTCCTCGGTCACTTATGAATACCGCAGAGCAGTTCTGGGCAAGCACATGCTCCAGAGCTGAGAATACTTGCGAGCACGAAAGGCAATCGCGTGTGCAGACATTGTGAAACTCCATGTTTGATGTGATTGTACCATTGCCCTTCTCATTCACGTCTTCTGTGCTCTGTGAGGAAACAAGTTGCGCGCTGAGAGTCCCAGTTTTGACAAGCGGTTCGAGATCCCTCATCCGATTACCACTTGCTGCCTTCGGTCAGCTGATAACACAAGTTGAAGCACGGAAGCTAAGAAATCTCCCATATGTAGTGGTGAGCTTAGGCTCAAGGACATGGCAGTTGGTCTGGAAGTGTGCCAACTTGCTGCGAGCAAGTGCTCAATAGACCCTCGCGTAGTATCTGAGTCTGACATGGGAAGTCATACTTGTCAAGTGTTTGGGGAAGACGTCGGTCCATGTTGCAAATCCAGTCACACTCGCTCCTCGTTTAGTAGCGTTGCCCAATTGGGAGAGAGTGGAGAGAAATGGCGTGATCCGTTTGCTAAACCGACAGTGAGGAAAGAACAAAATGTGGACGGAGAAGTTGGGCAAGTGTGGATATCTACATCTGACGATTCCTGGATGCTGCTGTACAGACCCAAAAGAGATCCGTGCATGCTGACAGGAGCACAGACCATGCGCCTCTGCTGGACAGAGCTGCTGCACATGGATGCAGGTGATGTCATAGTGTCTCAATTATGAGAGGACGACCGGGAACTATATTCCAACCCGCCTCCTCGTTCTGTTGAGGAATCCCGCCCCGTCAGACGGTAAATTCACCCTCCACTCTTCACCACCTGGCTTGTGTTTGGAGTGTGGGCTCACTCTCAGTGTTGGCCAGACTGCAGTCGTCAGTGGATTCATGATACCCTAAAGCGCCAAGCGATCGGAATCAGCAGCCAGCGATTGGCACCCAGATCCGTGTACCTTTTTTGGGGGAGGTTCATCCGTCCCCTCCTCCTCATGTGCAACATTTTATTTTTTCTCACCGGCAGGTAAAGACTTTTGTGCAAAAAAGCCAAAACGAGAGAGACATTTTCTATGATTACTGAACAAACATCACATCACATCACTGCAGAAGGGCTTGGCACACTAGAGCTTCATTCCTCTGGATCATCAAAATAATATGAGCTCGGTGAGTTGCAAGACACCCAATCACGAAGGACCTAAATAATTGTCATAGAATAGAAATAATGGTCACAGAATTTGAATGATTTGGCCTCGAGGTTGCTTGTGGCGGCAAGCTTGCTCTCCATGATCAGCTCAAAGCCGACGGGTGAAAGGCCAAAAAGAGCTAAAGCGAGTGGAGGTACTCACCAAGTTCAGAGGACCTTAGGAAAGGGGAGAAGACGGCCTCCGAGGGATGCTCAATGCATATTTCTGCTTGCCTTTCCCCAAAAGTGGCTGAATGATGAGAGTCCTGAAACAGGCGAAAAGATCATGGACCAGCTTCACGCATGTCGAGCACCTACCGACTGGGGGGGCAGGGCCAGGGGCAGCAGCAGTGGGACAGGTCTGCGAAAGCGAATGAGCTCAGACTCCTATGTTCGATTTCGCAAAGGGACGTGGACATCAGTCTTTGCGTCTCTCTCTCGGATACAGTGAATCAAATCGAAGAGCAAGTTACAGAAGTGGTGCAGTTAGAGAGAGGGCCCTGACATGTGTGGAGACCCTGCCATAGTTAGCGAGAGCTGTGGAATTTAATTCACTGCATATAGTCTGCGTGGACATGCGAGACGAGTTAGTAGAGTGCAGTCAACTCTCGCTCCTCACGGATTGAACCTGGTCTCCGCAACCCACGATCCAGTGAAATCAGAGCTTGAGAAGCCAGTCCGGCACTGACTGACTGGCCTACGTCATGTACTGCTAAGCTCTACACAGCACTTGCGTTCTATCTTAGCGGATCTCCAGAATCTAGGGCCGTGTTCAGAGTAGTAGCAAGCTTTAACCACCATAGCAGCAAACTCTGAGCTCGTCGAAGAGAGGGTCCGAGAACACATTTCTTTGAACACTTCCTTCCGTCTGTGTCAGTCGATTGCGACTGTTGTAGATAAACGAGCTGCAGCGCGACAAGAACGTGCCGTGGATATGGAGAAAGAACTCCAACGCATATTCTCCGTGAGTGGGGTTCCGTATATCACCGCCTGAAGCTCGAGGCTCATTGTGCACGTCTGGGACGAAGGCAAACTTGACCTGGACAGGGACCGTAGTAGCCTCGGCTGCTCTGGCCTGCTCTGCTCTGCTCTGTGCTCTGCTCTGCACTTGCACCTCCCTCACTTGAAGCAAGTTTGACAGATTGTAGAGTCGCGAGTTGGGCAGCTGAGCCGGAGAGACCCGGCCATTTAGGAGGAACACGGTCGAAAAGCCTGGTCGAAAAGCCAGGGACGTGACAGTGCAGCATGATGATGGCTCGAGCAAGCAGCTCACTGTTGTTGCTGCTGTTCGTCAGCACGGGCTTGCTGCACAGCGCATCTGCCGTGACGCATATTGTGGGAGGCGATCAGGGCTGGACTATGAGGAACATTTCCATGACATTCTACGATGAGTGGGCTAAGAAACAAACATTCAATGTGGATGACAAACTACGTGAGTATCTGCACAAGCATTCCTTCCCTCTCTTCTCGTCTGCACCGAAACTGTGTATATCCGTCAGTGATTCGACCATGCCCCATTTTGCTCCGAAGACAGCGCTCTCTGTTGAGCTTGGACGACATTATCCCCGTGACTGGGGAGGCCCACCCAGATTAGCTGCTCGAATTCATTCCATTATTAGAAACCTGCAATATTGCGAGTGACTATGGTTAGAAATTTGTCGAATAGTATTCGTTTTAACAGGAGCTGGGACAAACGGGGTAAGAAGTGATTGGGTGTTCTGCGATTTTTGAGAACGTGGACTGTGATGTTGAAACTGGTCCGAGTATTGGTCACAGCTCGTGCGGTATGGCTTGGGGGCTTGCAATGCAAATGGCTGTGATGTTGAAACTGGTCCGAGTATTGGTCACAGCTCGTGCGGTATGGCTTGGGGGCTTGCAATGCAAATGGCTGATGGCTGCGAGGATTATGAGTCGAGATAATTAGAGTTGAAGATCCAGCTTGTTGTACATTTCTCTGATTCAACTCTTGATCATGGACCTGCTTTGTTTCAGTCTTCGTGTACGCACAGGGTACACACAATGTTTGGGTGGTGACGGTGGAAGAGGCGGCTTCTTGTCAGATGGCGAATTCCCTAGAGCACTACGAAGACGCCAATGCAACCATCGATCTGTACAGAGCTGGTGAGTATGGCTTCGTGTGCCAGTACACGGGGCATTGCACTGGTGGCATGAAAATGAGCTTGACCGTCGCAGCCCCTGCGCCAGTGCCAGGACCTGCTCTCGCACCTTCCGACGAGAGCCCTGCTGAGGTTCCACCTCCGGACGAGGTGATTCCGGAAGAACCGCCTGCTGATACCACACCACCAGCACCACCCTCGGCCGCCTCGTTTCTTCGACCATTGCCTGCTCTTGTCTCTGGAGGTCTGTTCGCGTGTGTAGTTCATTTGTTAGCGTAGATGCAGTAGAATACATTTGAAAGATATTTCGCCCTTTTTGGGCGCCATGCATCTCTTCTGTCCAGCCTGGAAGTGTTTTGACTTCCAGTGAGCATCAAGAGGTCCTGTGTGGGAAACATGGGCTGCAGTGGAGACGGGATGACAAGCAGTGAGTTAGTTCTATTTTTTCTTTGTCCTTATGTTTTAGCTTCACCATCACTTAGGACTGTGTATCATTCATGTCAATCGACCTTGTACTGATATATTTTCACTCAGGGCTTAGACATTGACAAAGATCAAGAGTTTGGAGCAAAGGGAATCCAAAAGTTAGCGAGCATGTTTTGTTATTACAGCCAACACCTAGCTCTAGATCAGGATAGTTACATCATCATTATGCCTTCACGATTGGCAACTCATCATTAGCATGGGTTCAGTGCCCCATTGCCTACTGAATTTAAATGAAATGTCGACACAAAATTTGCAGTTGATCTTATGTGAATGTTCCACTGAGAATCTGTGAGTAGTATTTTAAAGGGTTGCAGTGCATTGTTATGAGAATGATGATCTATCTGATTTCCGTTCAGTTCTAGTCAGGTACATACAGGACGACAAGACTCACAAGAACATTGAACCAAACGTTGGCAGAATGCTTGCCAGAAGTTTATGGATTCGCGTATGAATTTTACTGTTGCTCCTACAGGTAAGACAGGATAGTGTATTGTCGGCTGCCTTGGCACTCCGAACTGTACTATTCTGAAGTCAAATTCTAGAATTCAGTAACCCTCTGAATAAGTACACTTTCTCTGTGTTGTCCTGTAATCTTTACTGTGAGGAAGCTCTGTAATCTGCCACGGACTCTGGTCAATTCGTTCCACAGAGTAGCATGGCCTCAAGAAGGAAAGGCAACTGTTCCTTTTGTAGATTCATCGTTTTTTCAAGGATAGAAGATTGTCCAGGTCTTGAACACTGTTTAGTGCAGTGCAGTGTGGTATACGTGGTATATGTGTTAAGATTCCTGTGCTGCCTCCTGTATTGATGTCCCTAATCTGGAAGAAATTATTCATGAGGTTTTGGAATTTGAATGCGCATCCTAGATCATGAGATCCGATCTCATGATCTCATGGTCATGAAGATCATGAGAAACCCGTGACCCTTCTGGTCTCTGAACGAGTCTCCGTCATCCTCTCTTGATAGTGTTTAGATAGACTAGGAGATGTGAGGCCATCTATCCCACAAAAGTCCTCTGCAAGCTTCTCAAAAATCCCAAGGACAGCATTGGAATGAGTACTGTATGCAAGTGTAAACTAACGAACGGAATAAAACACAAATATTCAATCATAATAGAACTTTATGCATGTTGTGTCGCTCTGTAGCTACGATCAGTCCGGATCAAGAGGTATGCCTGACACAAATGCCCAGGATATTCATCTCCACTTCCAGATCACAATTGAGAAATCATCCAAAATCTTTCGAACTCTGTTGTGTCTACGCGAACATAACACCCCAACTGCGTCAGACAGTATAGGGTTTAAGAGCAATGTGCATCGTATTTCAGGCGAAGCTCAAGGGAGAAGTTGTCCTCAATTGTCGGTGTAAAGCAAAATTCCTCAGTATTGCCACCTATGTGAACAATGGCCTTTTAACAGATTCTGTCAAATGTCTGAGCGTATTTTACACTTACAGCAATTCCATCCAGATTCTTTCCCGTGCCGCTGACCGCATCTCCTGACAAGCGAATGTTGCTGACCTAGATCCACAAGGTAAGCATGTTCATCTTGTACCTGGGCCTACACAACTTGCCCTCACAATCCTGCACTCATGAGCATACACCCAAGCAAGATTAAAAGACACATAAAGTTGAAAGCGATCTGGATGGCAGATAACCTTGCAGAATTTGTCAACACCCTCGACTCATACAGCATGATTGTCCCCACAAGCATGCGAAACAGTCTAATCATGTCCCCAAAGGACCACTGCCACAACTTTCTAAAACATGAGAAGCTTTAGGAAAACTTTAGGAGTTTGCATCGTAAAAGCCCATCCGCCTGACCCACTATAAATATCAAATGCATGTGCTAGTCACCATTTCATTCATCTTTTTCTTCACAACGAGTTCAGGGGTAATTCAGAAAGACAACCTTTCCCTCTACACATACTCGGTCTCCTAAAGGTAATGATTTTTCATTATCACACCAAACCTTATTACATGTAATTTTTCCTACTCAATTTTCAATCCATCAAAGTATTAACAATAGCATGCAAAACCAAAGCACCGCAGATTCCGCCTAACGTCTTGAGCAATTGCTTAATATCCAACAGTTCCGTTATTTCTGAATTTTGAGAAAGTTTTCATGTCAAATCGATTTTTCAAAAATTGCCATTCTCATTTTTGCATGGGTTTCAGAATGTTGTTTGTTTTACATGTGCTTTGAAGAAAGTAAGTACACGTAAGTATACCATAATTGTGTTAGGCAAACAAATGGGGTTGAAGAGCCTCATTGCGGAACCTTGAGTCAAGTTACCAGTATTCTTATTTTTCTTCTCTCTTTCTTTCAAGGTTTATCTGGCTTCTGTCAAAGCTAGCACTTATACTGTAGTATATTTAAAGGAATCTACAAATTTCTTATCTCAACAGTTTTTTTATCATAAATAGGACTTAATTTATATGCCTTTTTCCTAACAAGCTTCCAGCCTACATTTACGAAGTGAAACATCTCACGTCTACTCATATTGTAGCTGGTAGTTCAGTGTTATGACATGTAAAATGCGAAAATTATCTAAGAAGTAATGAAGTCACAATGAAACCTCAGCCGTGTAATGACATATACTTTAATATCCAATCATACATTTTGCCCCTCGGAATATATATATGCTCCGTGAAGTAGAGAAAAGAGGAAGCACACGACTTCGATGCTCTTCTGACGCTGCGAAGTATTATGTTATCAGATCAGCCGCTACGCCTATTGATCCTCTTACGAGAAGTGAGTAGGATGATGCTCGGGAAACTTAGAATACCTAGTCAGATGTAAAAGAATGGCCTATATGTAAAAATGTCTCCATCTCCAATATGACCAAGTCTGCTTGTGAGTTATATGAACATGGTAGTGCCTCCCGAGGATTCAGCAAGATAATAGCTGTTCACACGTTTCACGCTGAAGCAACAATATTGAAAGCCCACTGTAACTCTGGCCTGACTGGTATATATGGGGAGCATTCCAGACCTGAGAACATCATTAGGTCCTGCTCCATCTTCTTCCCAACCTTCTCCTTTCAACAAAGGCAGATTTCTCTATCTCAACTGTCTTACTCAGGACTTGGTTCTTACACCAGTCTGAAGAAAAAATACAAAAATTTGATCTGCCTTTCGTAGTCTAGTGACGTTCTTTCATATTCTTATCTGCACACAACATTTGTGGCAGGAGAAAACTCCAGAAAAAGAGTTGTGGTGAGGCTTTCGAAGCTTGTTTACAGTTCAGACGATTTGCTAGTCATCGACAGGTTGGATTTGTCAGCTGTTTAGACTCTTGGTCCTCCGAGTTATATCCAGTACCGAGTTTGTTTTCATAACTAGGACATCGATTCGAGTGCTCGTGCGGGAAGTAGCCCGAATTAACAGAAGAGAAATAGAGACCAAAGTGATAATACTTTCAACGACTTATAGCTGAGACTGCAGACAAAATCGAGAACCACTCCGAGATCTGAAATGACGACTTCAAAGAGCTCCAGCATGGTGATGGCTGTGATGATGATTGCTGGACTTCTCCAGAGCGTTTCAGCTGTGACGCACACGGTGACTTGGACCTTCGGATCAAATGCCACAGAGTACGATGAGTGGGCCAACCAACAGAACTTCCAAGTCAATGATGTCATTCGTAAGTTTCATGTCCTCTGCCTCTTCATCTCTTGCAAATCTGAATTCTCTCCAAACTAGAGCTTGGCGGGCTTGATTGCGATTAGGGTCTTGATAGACACAAACGGGTTAGACACAGGATTCACAGTTCAAGAACAAAGATGACAGTGGACCTCAGACTGATTGCATTGTCCACATGAAACAACTCTCTTTGTGTCCCGAAAACAAACAGATCACTCACACTCGGAAGAAATGAATTGAAGCCTTGAATGCCCTTTAGGCTCTGAAACTCCAAAGTCTTCAGAGATTTGCAGACTTGATCTTCCTATAACACTTACGCGAGGACGTTTATGATCAACTGTGTTCATTTTGTCAATCTGACCATGAGTATGAACATTCTGCAGAATTCCTTTACGATTCCAGCCACGACGTTCTCGAAGTGAGTCAAGCGGATTTGGACGCCTGTAACTCGAACAACCCAATTGCAAGTTACAAGACGGTGAATGCAAATGTGACTTTGAACAGATCCGGATACTTCGGCTTCATTTGTGGAATTGCTGGCCACTGCAGCAGTGGAAACATGCATATGAATGTGCAAGTTTCGGCAGCCACCACTCCTTCCACTCCTCCAACTTCCTCTCCTCCTCCATCTCCTTCAACTTCTGCTCCTCCTCCAGCTTCTTCTCCTCCTTCATCTCCTCCAGCTTCTTCTCCTCCTACATCTCCTTCAACTTCTTCTCCTCCTCCAGCTTCTTCTCCTCCTTCATCTCCTCCAGCTTCTTCTCCTCCTCCAACTCCTTCTCTTCCAACTCCTCCTGCTCCAGCTCCAGCTCCTGGCAGTTCCGATGCTTCAAGCCTTCAATCCCGATCAGCGATGGTTGTTGGAACTTTGGTTGCTGCTTGTGCTGCAGTTTTGTTGTAACCGCACAAAACTCTTCAAGCGTTACTGTCATCAGTTTGTGACCGAACCAGGTGGTAAGGAAACCAAAAGAAAATGCTGAAAGATATCTCGATGCAAGTTATATATCTGAATGCAAACACGAGGCGTTGGCAACTTCGCCACGTTAGATTGGTGTTGAGTTTGTTCTTGCAACGACGAGTTCAGGATTGATTCATTATCCCTCTTGGAGACTTCGCTGCTGACGGAAAGGCATTCATGGGGTTGGGTGCGAGTAGAAACTGTTTTGTGAGCGAACAGAGTCCGAGCATTAAGGAAGGAATAGTGGGTTCAATCTCTTACATATAGATCTCTTTTCTGAAGCCATTCATTTGCGATCAGTTTCCTCATTGTATCGTTCTTAGATACATCGAAAATTTTGTGAGGGTGAGCGCACACAAATTTCATTTATTATTTACATGTAGCAGCCAATGATTTAGTCAGGTTGCTCAATACACGGTCTCAGCGATTTCACCCTTCTTTCACCCGCTATGTTGATATGAATGTAGATGCAGAATAGGTCCTTTCGTAAGTGACCACAATTCAAAGTCACATATATTTAGAAATATAACACTTTTGTCACAGAGTGGCACACTTGTAAAATTATCATCTTCTGATAAAACGAAAAAAATGGAGGAAACTCCAGAAAAGATCCATTGATCTTTTGCACTAAAAGAGGGTCATTGTTCAGATTGAGTTGTGATTTGGAAAATTAGCTTGACACTTTTATGAGGCCTCTGTATCATTTCAGGTGCTTAAACTCGGTCGTGTTTTTCCTTTGCACTGGCTTACCTCGCAAATATTGAGTGGTTTGTTTTGATCAATGACATTCGTGATGATGTGCTGGTAATCGTTATCGATGTGCCATCCAGTGAAATAATTGCCATCTGTAAAAGCATGAGAGAGGAGAAACGAAGGATTAAGTTGTGCAGGAATGCAAATGAAGTGACCTAGATGCCAAGCTGGGAATTTCTCCGTCTAAAAGTCTCATTTTCGATCAGCCAAGTTGTTGCAGAGTGTCCACCTTTCATTCGAAAGATCTAGCCCGACCTTGCTTGACCCTGCTCGCCGAGGACCGATATAGGACAAGGTATCGATGCAGCGTTTAGTTCTTTGAAAAATCTTCTTTGGAAAATTCAAGCAATTGGTGGATGGACCTGAAACTCAGGATTAATTCTTTTCCTATGGTGAGAATCATGATCAACTGAGCTAAGTGAATCTAATAACATGGAGTATAACCTGAATCAAACAGATTATGTTGAATCAGTTCAGCATATACTAGGTTCAATCGTTGGTCATGTGAGAATGTTCTCCCAACTTTTCTCTCAGATTTCATCATTTAGCAGGAAGCAAGGTATCAAGACAATACCAGTTCAATAACAGGGCATTCACCTGTCGGATCGTGCATGTTTAGCATGCCTTCTCTTTGCTTGGACCTGGGCTGCCTCTTAGTCAAAATGAGACGTGTCACGCATCTGCACATCAAGGCACAAATTTTATTGATCAGAAGGTGCCAAAAGGTCCACAGGATTCGGGTCCGTGCAAGTTGCTAATACTGTTCACGATGTGAAAGATGCAGACGAGGACGATGTGAAAAGGAGTGAGCTTCATGGTATGATGTGACTATGTTTTTGGTGATCCATTTGGGAATATCACACAATGAACATTTGTGAAATGCCCTCGAGAATGAATTTTTACACAGTTTCCGCCCAGCTGGAACGTGAGTATCAGATACAAAGTGATTGAGAAAGGAATGTAGGGCTTTTTGAGATTGTAAATCCACAGGGATCCGAAAAGCATCATGGGAGCCTCATCAAGTGATTGATTCTCCTGGTCTTGTGATGTGAAGTGCTGTTCTGATGATGTGACTAGAGTAGTCAGCGACAAGATCAGGTCCGACACCTCATCTCCAGCAACATGGTGTAGTCCTGGAATCCACTATGGTATGGTGGGGATGCTTCCAAACTATCTCTGAAAGCTATGGTGAACTTTACTTAGCTTCGGAACTTCAGCTAAAGCCATGCTGTGTTTGCAATAGTTATGGGCAAAGCATTGCAGGGTCAAAATCCTGTTCACAACGATGATCAAGTGCAGCGATGAATCCGCCAGCAAGTTGGCACGGTGTTGTCACGGCTCGGATTTTCGAGACTTGTTTACTTTGTCCAATCTTACAGCTGAACAACTGACAGATGTTTTGTCCATCGGCCTATACATTGGCAGGGGATTTCATGGATGAGGATGAATCTATTGTCCCATCCGTAACCGTCCGTACCATTTCCGACAAAGCCTTGGCGTCATCTTCTAGGAAGCATCCATGTCAGATTGCAAAGACTGCAGATTCAATTGCCTGCAAGCTTTTGTCTACATCAGCCACGATTTACAGCAATATGCATCGCTTTGAGGTTTCTACATCTAAGAGAGAGATGCAGATATTGAAAACCCGACGGTGCTGCTCAGTTGGACGCATCCTGCCACGACACAGCAAGCAAGTGTAGACCTTGATACGTAGTATACAGTGCTTATTAGAAAGAAGAGGGCTGCAATTAATGTGTGTAGGCTTTGAGGTCAAGCTTAGGCTGGACAACTATGCTATGAGTTCGATTCCATCTGATTTTCCTCGTATCAGGCGAGGGTAACAAGTAAAATTATCGAGTATTAACCACGGTAGAGCCAAAGAGTGGGAAGGAAGGCCACATGAGAATATGAACAACAGACAGATGAACCATGGCTAGTAATAAGAATCTCTTCAATCCATGAATCATGTTCAGCTCTCATTTTTCTCTTCGTATCACAAACACTGACATTAATCTCGTTAAGCTTATATTACAAATCAGGAGGATCTACCCCCTAGGCAGAAGACTTGCACTGAAAGCGATTTTGTGGTAAGTGTGTGTATCTCATGACTGTTGGAATTTCTTCTGTGTGTAATAGGGTGTTTCACACAAAATAGGAAATTGAGATCCACCCGCTATTTGATTTTTACACTTTATTCTTGTGCACACTAATCAGGTATCCCTTGATTGGTGTCTCACCTTTCTTACTAGTGTTGGCAAAACAGTTGAGGAACTCACTGTATTATCATGAAAGTCCAGTTGAAGGTCAGTAGAAAGCAGTTGTCGATTCTGTCCTTCCTGGTAAACCCAACGAGCTTCACATCTACATGATCAGTCCCGTGACCTCTCGGTGTCGGTCACGGATTATTTTTTGTGTAAGAAGTACCCGGTTGTTAACTGGTATATCTATAAGCTACATTATTGGTGAGAACTTATATATATTTTTATATTTATTATTTTTCTCACAAAACGCAATCAGAATTTACTTCATTTTTTTCAAAAAAATTTGTCTTAGATATATCTTTTATTTTTGTTGTATATTTCATTCTTGAAAATAGTTTCGTGAATACAAAAACTTTCATCAATTTAAAATTTTTTAAGAATATAATCAAGGTTTTGTTCATTGCTAGCTAGCTTAGTCATAATTAGTAAGTGCAATTAGCCTGTTATTGTATGATCCACATACATTAGAGTTGTCAATTAGGAACAAATTTTAATGTAGTGTACCTAGATTCATTGAAAACCACTTATTCACTTCAAAACTTTGTGTTTTGCATTGAGGATGGACACTTTCCTCTGTTTGCATTGGAAATGTAATCTACAAAAATGTGTTTGAATGTATTATAATTTTTTACTTCTAGAACACACAATTTAACTGTAAGAAATAAATAATTGGTTATTTCAAAGAAATATTTATATTTATTCTTTCATCTATTATTCGTTCAAGTTTTCTAATTCTTAAAATAACAATATATCAATTTATCAGTAGTAACAATCATAAATTTTCCAATGTTGAAATTTGGGAATCTCTTACAAAAATAAAATTTCAAATGAAAGGAAGGTTAAATTAACATGTTAAGAAAATCATGTTGATTGAAAAATGACAAAAATTTTTGATTCAAATTTTTTAATGATGTATATAGCTTTTTCATATATATTTCTACAACATTTTTCCATTTTACGTATACTAAGCTTATAAAATTAATCTTTTTAAAACATTTACAAATTCCGAAATCTTCAATAGAAGCTCTGATAACTTGTCCATTATGACATCATACATTTTTTTTTCTTAATTTCTAAATACTAGTCATTAAACTTTGATGGATAAAATTTAAAAACCCAAGATACATGTGAACACATCGGTATGAAAAAAAATGTGCCATGTGACACAGGACTCGATGCAAAAATAAAGTTTAAGTCTTCTCTTCATATTTGAATATATTTTAGTCATAGATTGTTAATCTAATTATAATTTAATCTCAAGTTGAAGTACAATAATAAATTAGTAATGTCAATTTCAATTTTCCTTCCTTACTTGGAAACAGTGACGAAAATTATAAAATGAAAGACTGATGAAAATCTAAGGAGTACATGTTCGAATGTTTTTTCATTTCAATTTATTTAAGAGACAAATAAAATGTTTATGAGATTATATATCCTAATTCGATTTTGAAATAAATTATCTATTGTAATGTGTTTTGCAGCTTTGTAGAATAATGTCATTGAGCTTGATGAATTTATCAAATCTTCGCTAACCATCGGAATGTTTATCCCATCCGAAGTTAAAGGTCATGATAAGAAATTAAGAGTTCAATCAAGAAAAATGAATACCATTGACATGTGGAGAGAATATCGCATATTTTAGTTATATGACGACAAGTACAAAAATTGTTTCATGGAGGGAGTATCAGTATTCACTTATTGTAGTTAAAACTCGTCATATGTTTCGACTCGCTTAGTTGCACAAACTTTTACAAACGGCCGTACTGCCAGGTGTCAGGGATCCCAGTTTCTTTCTCCTCTTTCTTTCTTTCTTCATCCTCCCTTCGGGCTGCCCCGGATCAGCCGGATTTTATCTCAGTTTTGGGAACGGGGAGGCGGGGCACTTTGCGGGGAGGGAACGGGGAGGGCACTTTGCGGCAACCATGTAGAGGCCGCAACGTTGTATCTAGTGCGTTGCAATGATCTACGCCGCAACAATGATCGCAGTCGTGTCGTGGAACGTTGCGGGAAAAAGAACTAAAACTGAACTGCAAGAGGGATAGCTCAGATGGAATCCCTAATATTCAGACTGTAATATTTGTAATGAAACGGTGATAACAAATTGAGGCGACGAAATTTTAAGCGGCAAAGATTAGGGTTTTTGAAAATAGAATCACATCAATATTCTCCAGCTCGTCGTTTTGACGTCGCTTTTGGGTGCTAGTGTCAGTGCTTTGAGGAGCTCGTGCCAGAGCTCGTGCTTGTACTTTTCTTGTCATTTCAGGTGCTTTTGTAGGTGTGGTGACAGCATGGAGGCAGGATGAATTGTGCAGGACCCACCTTATGAAGGCCCTTTCAATTCGTTAATGTTGAATTGGTCAAATGGGACGGCCTACATCAAAAGCTCGAGGCTTCACGATTTTGTTTCGGGAGAGGGATCTTGTCATAGTGATGCGAAGACAGAATTTGTGACACGTTGCTCATACAAGGGTGGAGGTACTAGGCACAATTGGGAATCGTATGCAATGTATTATTGCAAGTATGGTACTCCAGAAAGGGGCAAGAAGAGTATGCTTTCCTCGAATTTTATTCAAGATCCATCAACGAAGGCAAAATT